CGCCACGGGAACGCAGCGAGGCACGCTTCACTCCCTGGGCAGCTTGGCGAGAGAAGCTGCTGAAGGGTTTAGGGCTTAGGGCTTAGGGTTTAGGGTTTAGGGTTTAGGGTTTAGGGTTTAGGGTTTAAGCTTCCTTTTGAGGAGTTTAGGGTTCAGGGCTTAGGGTAAGCTCTTAGGGCTGAGGTCTTAGCTTTCAGAGTTCGGGATTTCATGTTTCATGTCGGCTCCAGGGATGTGTTGTTGGGCGGGCTGTGCAGAAGTGGCCCGCTGCGCTGCCGTAGCTTCCGCCCCTTGCTGTTTCTGGAGGTGGGGGTTTCGTGCAAGCGACCTTCATATGGCCTAAAACCCCAACCCCTAAACTTCCTAAACTACCTAAAGCCGAACCCAGGACTTGGTGCAGGAGTTTTTCAGAGCCTCGCCAGCAAATCCCGCAGCACCTTTCTGTTATTTTGGGAGTTTCGGCTTTAGGGTGCTGCGCTCCCTGTAGCCACAAGCACTGGCGGCCCCCGCCTGAACAGCCCCGAGCCCTTGAAGCGCCCTGTGTCCCCCAAAATCCCTGGGCCTGAAGCCCTAGATAGGGTTTGTAGCAGGGTGAGGGTTTTTAGGGTTTGGGGTTTAGGGTTTAGGGTTTAGGGTTAAGGGCTTAGGGCTTGGGGTTTAGGGCTTAGGGAGTTTAGGAGCCTCAGGAGACCTCCTGGTCCGCGGCCCGCAGGCCTCTTCCGAGATGACGGTGCTGCTGGCGGAGGCACAGCGCATGGACGCCAGCGTGGTGCTGGGGGACAGGGACGTCCACCTGACGCTGACGCTCAGGCGCTAAGTAGGTGACCTTGAAACCCCTAACCTTCCTTTTTGGTTCTGCAAGCTCTTTGTGAGAAATCCAAAGGTTCCCGAAACTCCTTGTTGCCTAAACAAACTCACGGTGTAAGGAAGAGGGCCCAGCGGGCCGTGACCGTGACCTCGGCCCTCAGCCAGGTGGCCTACGTGGCGGGGCTGGTGGTGATGGCGCCCGCCTGGGGCGAAGTGCTCCGGAAGTCCTTCCAGGAAAGCCTGGGTCTGGATCGGGAGCTCCGTAGCATCCACCAGGAGCTCATCAGGATCAGCGCAGGGTCGGAGGCCGGGTCAAACGAGGACGTGCTGCTGCGCTCAGCCAGCTTCTCAGCTACTGATTAGCAGCCCCAAAAAAGAGTTCAGTCACTCCCAACCCTTAGAAAACCCCCCTATAAGCCCGTAAACCCTAAGCCCCTCAACCACAAGCCCGCAAACCCTAAAGCCCCTCAACCCTAAGCCCCTAAACCCTAAACCCCTCTTCTTCCCCTTGAAGCCCTAAACCCTAAACCCTAAACCCCAAACCCTAAACCCTAAACCCTAAACCCCCTTGAAGCCCTCAGCCAAAAAAGGTCTGGGGTGGCAGCTGCATCACAACGTCCACCGCTACAGCGTGGTGGAGCTGATCTCCTGGATCTCGACTTGGAGGACGTCCCAAGAAGCACCGGTAGGGTTTAGGGTTTAGGGTTTAGGGTTTAGGGTTCTTTGTTCTACCCTGTCCTTGATTTGGGTTCATTGCTAAACTCCCTAAGCCCCAAAACCCTAAAAATACCCCCCCCCCCCCCCCCCCCCCCCCCCCCCCCCAACCCTTAAAACCCTTAAAGCAGTCGAAGCCCCAAGCCCTGCGTTCCTAAACCCCAGATTCTGCTTCCCGAAACCCTAAACCCTAAACCCTAGACCCTAGACCCTAAACCCTGAACCCTAAACCCTAAACCCTAAACCCTAAACCCTCCGTTCCTAAACCCTGGTTTCTGCTTTCCCGCATGCCCTGCCGAGCTTCCTGCAGGAGCATCTCACGCGACGAGCTGGAGATGATGTTGCAGGCCTCACTGGGTCTTCAGGTTGAACACTAAACCCCAAACTTCAAGCCTTAAACCCTAAACCCTATAAACCCTAAACCCTATAAACCCTAAACCCTGTATACCCTAAACCCTGTATACCCTATAAACCCTATAAACCCTATAAACCCTATAAACCCTAAACCCTATAAACCCTGTAAACCCTGTAAACCCTATAAACCCTATAAACCCTGTAAACCCTATAAACCCTGTAAACCCTGTATACCCTATAAACCCTATAAACCCTAAACCCTATAAACCCTATAAACCCTATGAACCCTATAACCCTATAAACCCTAAACCCTAAACCCCAAACCCACAACCCTGTAGACCCTGAACCCTCAACCCTGAATTTCCCCACGAAGCTAAAGAAAAAGAAGAGGCGGTGCACTCTGCGGCCGCGGGGTTCTGGTGGCCTGGACGACCCAGGAAGGTGTACATCGAGGACCCTGGGGGTTTGTTTAGGGTTTAGGGTTTAGGGTGTAGGGTTTAGGGTTTAGGGTTTAGGGCTTAGGGTTTAGGGTTTAGGGTGTCTAGGGGCTTCAGGGTTTTTAGGGACTTTCGGGTTTTAAGGTTAATGGATTTTAGGGGCTTAGTTTGGGATCTAGGGGTTGCTGGGGCTCTTGGAGGTCTTGCCCCTGTGGGGTTTATGAGGGGTTTAGGGTTTAGGGTTTAGGGTTTAGGGTTTAGGGTTTAGGGTTTAGGGTTTAGGTTTTTGAGGGGTGCAGGGACCGGGCAAGACACAGGGTTCCAAATTCCATCGAGGCGGGTGGAGGGGGCGGTTTTTGCTCCCTGGCAGCTTGCAGCGTCCCTTACACCACACTGCGAATGCAAGAAGTTGGGGGGCTTTCCAACCTTAATCATCGGATGCCCTCCCCCCCCCCCAAAAAAAAAAAAAAAAAAAAAATAACACACACATAATAAAGAAATGAACAAAGGAAGCCTCCCCGCCCCAATTTCGGCCGGAAGCCACCCAAAAACCGGAAGCCCCCTGCCTGAAAGCCTCGCAAGGAGAGGGACGTCGTGCTGACGGAGGCCCTGAAGCGCCTCAAGGGCAGGTGGCCGTGGGAATCGGGGCCTGGCGCACCTTCCAGGAATCCGGAGGAACTGGGCAAGGACTGGGGGTTTAGGTTTAGGGTTTAGGGTTTAGGGTTTTTAGGGTTTAGGTTTAGGCTTCAGGTGTTTCGAGCCCTACGAGGGTGGTTTTAGGGTTTTGGGTGTTCAATCACTGAGGGCTTGGAGCTTGAAGTCCGATGCCCTCAAGCCCGAAACCCGCAACCCTCAATCTCTTGACCCCAAGCCCCTGAGCCCTAAAGCCTTCAAGCCTGAAGTCAGGGACACCTCGCGAGCTCCGGCAAGCCTTCCAAGAGCCGCCACGCTGGCTTCTGCCGCAGGCGTTGAGCTTTGGCCTGCTGGCAGGCTTGGGGGGGGGGGGGGGGGGGGGGCGGTTTTGGGGTTTGGGGTTTCAATAAGGTTTAGGGTTTCTCTAAGGTTTTCAGGGTGTATTGATAGGGTTTGGGTCAGTCGGGTTTATAGGGTCATAGCGTTTTTTGGGGTTTAAAGTTTAAGGGTTTATAGGGTTTGCAGGTAGGGTTTCCAGGGTGTAGAGAGGCTTTACAGGGTTTGCAGGGTTTATGGAGGGTTGATAGAGTTGACAGAGTCTACTGGGTTTATAGGGTTTAGATAATTACAGGGTTTACAGGGTTGATAGGGTTTATGATATGCATTCAGGAACAACCGGGGGTTATGAGCGCAGCATAAGTTGCCGTAGCAGGGTAACTTAGTTCAAGCCGCTCAGCAGTGACGCAGGTTCTTTAAACCCCAAACCCTAACGCCCGGCAACCCCTAAACCCTAAACCCTACACCCTAAACCCTAAACCCTAAACCCTAAACCTTAAACCCAAAACCCTAAACCCGAAACCCTAAGCCCCTGGAATCTTAAACTCCAAACTCTGAAAGCCCTCAACCCCAAACGTCACGTAAAGCCCAAGCCCTCATCCCCTGAGCCACTCGGGCGACCCAAAACCTGACAAACCTGAAACCTACTAGACCCCAAGCCCTAGCAACTTTAAACCCTAAACTTAAACCCTAAACCCTAAACTTAAACCCTAAACCCTAAACTTCAAACCCTAAACCCTAAACTGAAACCCCCCCAAATTCCTACAGCCCCGCAACCGGTGGCAGCAGGCATCCCCGTCTTCGTGCGCGCACGGAAGCTCCCCTACCGGCGCTCCCTCTGCGGGCTAAGCGCGCCTTGGCCTTTACCACTTTGTGCTTTGGGAGGGTGTAGGAATAACAGCTGCCCCTCAGCCCCATGATTCGGTGTTCAGATTTTGGGGGAGTTTATGGGAGCCCTTCGAGCTCCTAGCAACGAGTGGGGATTTGTAGGGATTATCCTAGGTAGGATAAGGGGGACCCTTGAAAAGGGGGCCCTTCTTATCCCTCTTCTGGCTCTCTTAAACAGGGACCCTACTCAGAGGGTCTATATCCCCAAGGGTCCCCCTAATCCTATCCCCTAGATTAATGATGGGTCTGGAGCTCTCAAGGGCTTGTTTGCTGTGAGGTGGTTCTGTCAACATCTGTGCTCGGCAGCAGCGGCTGGTATAGCTTCTTCAACTAGCTGTGAGCTTCCCTGGCGCGCCTGGATCCTCATGCTCAGCGACCTGGCTTCATGCGGAGCAGCTACGCTTGCATGCAAGCGAAGCAGGAAACGGCCAAGGCATATCTGTTTGCAGACGCGGAAGAAGTTGACAAAGCCACTTTCGTGTGCGATGGCCTCGGCTCCATCCCAGCAGTTCTGAGAAGATGCCCCATCTCAGCTTCACGCTGGGGGTGAGCGCGACAGACATGGTCATCTGTGGAGGATGGACTGCGAGGTTCCTTGGCCCCACAGAGTTCGGGGGGGGGGGGGGGGGAATCCCTTCTTTTCTGTGCCCCGGTGTCTTCCCGAAGGCTATCAACTCGGAGACTCTCAAAACCCTCAACCCTGTGTAGAGAACCACGGGCACTGGCCCACCCCAAAGCCCTAATAAACAAGCCCTAAGCCCTATAAAATCTAAACCCGCAGCTGTTCTCGGCCCAAGCTGCATCAAGTGATGTGTCCCACACCTCCCACAAATGTGGCGAGCGACTCCTGGCTGCAAGCAGGGATTGCACTACGTCCCTCCAACTTGGGGAACACTGCCTCTCCCCCCCCCCTGTTGACATCGTTGTCAGGGTTCAGAGCCCCAAAAGATGATTTGTGGAGTTTAGGATCTCGACTTCAGGACCTAGATCCTAAACCGAGCTTCAGGGGGTTTCGGGTCTCAAGGTCCTGTTGTTTAGGGGCTCAGGGCTTCGGGGTCCAGGAGGGTTTGGGGTTTTGAGCTTCGAAACTTTCTGGGGGGCTTAGGGCCCCGACCTGTTGGGCCGTCGCAGGCTTTTGCTTTGGCCGGCGGTGGTGCTGGCAAACGAGGACGGCCTCGCCTCATCCGGCGCTAGAACCCTAAATCCCAGAACCCTAATCGCCTAAACCGTAGACACAGCGCCCAACCCCGGTATCGCGGGTTCGATCCAACCCGAAGCTCAAAAACCCAACAACACCCCACAGCGAGAAACCCCAAAACCCCAAGAAAATCCAAAACCCTTGCCCCTAGAGCCACGAACAAATACAACATACCACATTACCACCATGCTTCTCTTACGACTTTGTTGCTGAGCAATATAGGAGTCGTAAACATTACTAATCGTATTCCCTTGTGTCCCCTTTGTAATTCTACTACAATTACCCCCAAAACCCCTTTCTGTATGAACGCCCCTATATTTGGGCCTGGGTATAGTTTATGTTCTCCATTTTTCTTGGCTTTGCGGGGATCATGTTGAGGAGTATTCGATTCAGGGGGTTCAAGGGGCCAACCTCGGTTGTAATATGTCTTCTCCTACCCTAAACCCTAAACCCTAAACCCTAAACCCTAAACCCTAAACCCTAAACCCTAAACCCTAAACCCTAAACCCTAAACCCTAAACCCTAAACCCTAAACCCTAAACCCTAAACCCTAAACCCTAAACCCTAGACCCTAAACCCTAAACCCTAGACCCTAAACCCTAAACCCTAAACCCTAAACCCTAAACCCTAAACCCTAAACCCTAAACCCTAAGCCCAAACCCCAAACCCCAAGCCCTAAACCCTAAACCCTAGACCCTAAACCCTAAAGAGACAGAGGAGGAGCTTCCTTCGGCCCTGTGGGCCGATGAGCCCTGCGCCGGGGAGGAGGTCGGAGACCCCAGAAAAACTTGGTGGCCCAAAAGGGCCTTGAGGGGTTTAGGGTTTAGGGCTTAGGGCTTAGGGCTCAGGGTTTAGGGATCCGAAACCCTGAGCCCTAAACCCCAAGCGCCAAACTCCCTAGACCTCTAAACCCCAAAGCACTATATACACTAAACTCAGCCCCCTCTCTCCGCCCCCACTCCCAGGTTCAGGTTTTAGGTTTGGGCTTTGGGGTCGAAACCATGGGCTTTCAGGATCTCAATTTAAGGTCTGAGGTTTAAGGAGGGGTCTGGGCATCAAGGGTATTCCGGAGTGTAGGGGGGAATGTTTAAACCCGAACTCCTAAACCCTAAGCCCTACACCCCAAGCGCTAACCCCTGAACCCTAAGCCCCTAAGCTCTTTTTAGCCCTAAGCCGTAAGCCCTTAACTTAAATTTACGGTTTAAGGGGAACTGAGGGGCTTGAGTTTCTATTTCTCAGTAGTAGCTGTGGCCAGCATGCGGAGGCCAGATGTAGCCTGGACCTGTCCCTTGGCTGCGACGCTGAAAGGCGTTACAGGTTTAGGGTTTAGGGTGTTTAGGGTTTAGGGTTGAGGGTTTAGAGGCCAGTCAGTGTTTAAGGTTTGGGGGTCTTGGGATGTTGTATTGTAGGGTTCTTAAGGGAGGGGGGGATTCAAGGGGGGGTATGTAACCCAAGGTTCCCTAGTACCCCCCAGTACTTTTTAAGGCTCCCTAAGCTTTCCTAAGCTTTCCTAAGCTTTCCTAAGCTTCCCTAAGGTTCCCGAAGGTTCCCTAAGTTCCCGAATACGGTTCCCTTGGTACCTACCCCCCTTGAACCCCCCCAGAGTTCAGGGCCAAAGAGAAGCAGAAGCAGGGCAACTCAGTCAGTGGAGTGTCTTGCAACCCTAAACCCTAAACCCTAAACCCTAAACCCTAAACCCTAAACCCTAAACCCTAAACCCTAAACCCTAAACCCTAAACCCTAAACCCTAAACCCTAAACCCTAAACCCTAAACCCTAAACCCTAAACCCTAAACCCTAACCCCTGAATTCAAAACCCCAAAGTCTTCGTTGCCAATCGAGGCTCCAGCTGAACAGCACGCAGGGAACCAGAGAAAGGACTGCCTAAACCCCTAAACCCCGAAGCCCCAAACCCTAAACCCTAAACCCTAAACCCTAAACCCTAAACCCTAAACCCTAAACCCTAAACCCTAAACCCTAAACCCTAAACCCTAAACCCTAAACCCTAAACCCTAAACCCTAAACCCCTAAACCCTAAACCCTAAACCCCTAAACCCCGAAGCCCCAAACCGTAAACCCTTAAACCCCTAAGCCCCGAAACCCTAGACCCCGAACCCTAAACCCGAAGCCCTGTGCGAGCCTGTTGGGCTTTAGGGGAATTAGTGGGTCAGGGCATTTAGAGCGTTAGGAAGTTAAGGATACATACCAGTGTCTTTGGGGCTTTTTCGGGCATTTGATACTATTTAAGGGCATTTATGTTCTAGTATCTTAAGGATTGGGGGTGTTGAGGGCATTAACGGTGTCAGTGCTGTAGGACTTTTAGATGTTAAGGGCATTTACGCTTTTGGGTTTTAGGATACCGAAAGGGTGGGGGTTCTTTTTGGGTATTTTTTTTGTGTTATTTTGGTTTCCTAAACCCTAAACCCTAAACCCTGAAACCCTAAAACCCTAAAACCCTCAAACCCTCAAACCCTCAAACCCTCAAACCCTCAAACCCTCAAACCCTCAAACCCTCAAACCCTCAAACCCTAAAACCCTAGAACCCTCGAACCCTAAATCCCCAAAACCCCTAAACCCTAAAACCCTAAAACCCTGAACCCTAAACCCTAAACCCTAACCCCTGCACCCTAAGCCCTAAACCCTACACCCTAGACCCTAAACCCTAAACCCAAAAACATACCCCAAAAAAACAACAAAATGCCAAAAAAAAACCTGGCTCCATACCGAAAACCCTCCAGCCATAAACCCCCCAAAACCGAAAACCCATGGATCCAGAAGTTAAAAACAATTAAATCCTGATTTAATTGTTGTGTTTGGGTTGGGTTTTGACCTACCTCGACATACCTTGTCCCTACAAAAACACAATTAAATCGTGATTTAATTGTGTTTCTTTGCGTTTGACTGGAAGACAATTAAATCGTGATTTAATGGTATAGCAAAGACTTGTGCTAATTGGTACCTGTTTGCACCATTAAATCATGATTTAATTGTACTATTATTACTATTATGACTATTAGTCTTATTATTCCTATTACTATGAGTCTTACTACTATTATCATTTTTATTTTGACTACTAGTCTTAATATTACTATTAGTATTACCATTATTATTCTTATTCTTCTTCTTATTAGTATTTTCTTATGATTATTACTATTACTATTACTCGTATTACTGTTACTATTGTTATGAGGAGTATTATTATTCTTCTTATTGTTACTACCATTATAATTATTACCATTACTATTACTCGTATTACTGTTACTATTATTATGAGTATTATTATTATTATTTTTGTTACTACCATTATTATTATTATTACAACTATTATTATTCCTATTACTATCATTATTACTATCATTATTACTATTACTATTACTATTACTATTACTACTATTATTATTATGATTATTATTACTATTGCTATTATTACTATTATTACTATTATTACTATTATTACTATTATTACTATTATTACTATTATTACTATTATTAACTATTCTCTTATATTACTTTATTACTACTATTATTATTATTACTATTATTTATTGTTACTACTTTATTATTATTATTACTAATTATTATTATTACTATTTCTATTATTACTAATTATATTACTATTATTACTATTATTACTATTATTACTATTATTACTATTATTACTATTATTACTATTATTACTATTATTACTATTATTACTATTATTACTATTATTACTATTATTACTATTATTGTTCTTATTATTACTCTTACTCTAGGGGGAACAATTAAATCGTGATTTAATTGTTGAAAAGGTAGGGGGAACAATTAAATCGTACAAAGACCCCGTAAAAAGAACAGCAAAAAAATGAGCCACGGGGCGGCTCCTAACTAGAAGGAGTAGCGAGTGAAGTGTCACACCACGTGATGTCTCACATCGTTCGCGCGTGCATGTTTTCCTGCCAGTCGACATAATTATGCTTGTCGTGCCCACGAAAAGACCTCCGAGGAACTGTGAGCTCCCTTCGACAATCACCTCACTGCCACGCCATCAACATTCCGGTGTAGGTGTAGTTCGTTATCTGGTTGTCCCTAATTTCATGGGTGTCCTAGTGGTTAAGGTGGTTCCCGATCCGACCCGTATTCAGGCTTGGTCATTGATTCATGTCCATTAAATCCTGATTTAATTGTTTCTGCGGGTTGGGGTCGTCTAGCAGAAACAATTAAATCCTGATTTAATTGTTTCTGCGGGTTGGGGTCGTCTAGCAGAAACAATTAAATCCTGATTTAATTGTTTCTGCGGGTTGGGGTCGTCTAGAAGAGACAATTAAATCCTGATTTAATTGTTTTCCTTGAGCAGCTTGCCGGCATGGCATGCTACGTCGCGCGACGTTAACAGGCAATTAAATCGAGAGTTAATTGTGCTGGACCTAAGGGGCGTCGAGCCGGCCCGATGCCGGTCAATTAACTTCAGAGTTAATTTTCCTTAACTCTTGGATCCACTGTCTTCCCCTAGACCTAAACCCTAAACTTAACTCCTCAACTACCGGCCGAAACTACCCTAAACCCTAAGCCCTGAACCCAAACCCCAAGCCCTAAGCCCAAACTCAAGGCTTAGGCTGCTCCCCCGGTTAGGGTTTAGGGTTTAGGGTTTAGGGTTTAGGGCTTAGGGTTTAGGGTTTAGGGTTTCGGGTTTAGGGTTTAGGGTTTAGGGTCTAGGGTTTAGGGTTTAGGGTTTAGGGTTTAGGGTTTAGCGTTTAGGGTTTAGGGTTTAGGGTTTAGGGTTTAGGGTTTAGGGTGTCGACCCTCATTGTCATACGTTTGGATGGCAGACGGCGTAGGAGAGAGTATTCGATGGCCCTCCACCATCGGGGCAGAGCTTCTCTTCGCACCTGACGAAGCTTTCGAACCTGTCCTGCATCCCAACCTTCACAGCAACCTGCGTTAGGCTTTTAGGGTTTTTAGGGTTTTGGGGTGTAGGGTTTGGGGTCTGTGTTCTTTTAGGGTTTCAAACATTACAGCAAACCCTAGACCCTAAACCCCAAACCCTATCCGCGAACAGGAGGGGCGGCGATTCGGGAGAGCCCACCGCCTGGGGGGATGCCTCGCACCAGGGGCGCTTCACGGGAGGGTGCCTCGGGCCGATGTAGGGTTTGCAGGGTTTTGGAGTACTGTGCTTTTATACTTCTTTGGGTTCTGGGTTCCTACTGTAGCTACTTAATACCTAAAAAGTGTAGGGTCTACTCCAAAGTAGGGGGGCTGTAGGGTTTGCAGGCAGGCTTGGGGCTGAAAGTGCTTCTGATCTTTTCCCGAAGTGAGCTCGAACGGCCTAGACTCGTGAGCCCCCAAACCCGTTTCGAAGGATGTGGGAGCCCCCAAAGCCTCCATCCCACAGTCGGGATAAGGGTGTAGGGTTTTCAGGTTGACCCTAACACCCTAACACCCTAACACCCTAACACCCTAACACCCTAACACCCTAACACCCTAACACCCTAAACCCTAAACCCTAAATAAACCTAAACCCTACACCCTAAACCCGAAACCGCAGCCTCCAAACCCCCAGTCCCCAATTGCTGTCTAAGCCTACGCCCCCCCCATATTCCTCAAGACTCAAGACCCCTCATAGCCCGCAACCGACATGCCCTGAGCCCCCAAACCCTTAAGAAAACACCTGAGACCATGTAAACCCTAGGGTCTTATTCCCCTTTTTAGGGTAGAGGTTCCCTTTTTCACCCCCCTTTGCACCAAAAAGGGCACCCCTTTTCAATTCCTACTGTAGGTTACAAAGCCTTTAATCCCAAAAAGCCCTAAGCCCCTAAACCCTTCAGAAAAACCTGAGACCAAGTAAACCCCAAAGCCTTTAATCTAAAAAACGCCCCAGGACGTGCTCCATCTTCGGCTGCGACCAGAGCCGGGGGCCGACCCTCTGCCACCACTTCCGCTGCATCTGCCAGGAGGTGCCGGGGGGTGAAGGGCGCTTTTGAATGGGTTAAGGGTTTAGGGTTTAGGGTCTAGGGTTTAGGGTTTAGGGTTTAGGGTTTAGGGTTTAGGGTTCACGGTTTTTAGGGATTGCTAAGGGATCCCCAGGGAGAGGGGCGGGGGGGGGGGGCAAAGGTCTGCTCTACTGTATAGGAGTCAGGGTTCAGGGCAGAAGTGTTCGACCCGAAGCCCTGAGATGCTACATCCTGAAGCCTAATGCCTGAAGCCGTGTGCTGCTTGACAACTCTCAACCCTAAACCCTCCACCCTCAACCCTAAACACTCCACCCTCAACCCAACAAACCCCCAAGATGAATGGCCGGTTCTCAACTGGCTCAGCCCCTAAGCCGGAAGCTCTGACTCAGGGCTACTTGGCGATGGCAGGCAAGTGCCTCTCGGCAGACGACCTACCCCAAACCCAAAACCCTAGGCCCTGAACCCTAAACCAGCCCAAGACCTGCAACCCTGAGACCCCAAAGCGCCAGGTGTGACGTTTCGAAGTGTCGCTGTTGCAGTACAGGCTGGAGCAGTACAAGTAGCTCCTGAGCCCCGAAGCCCTGGAGCATCTCACAAAGTATGGGACCCCCTTGGTACGTAAAAAGCAAAACTCCAACCCTAAACTCTTAACACTGCACGCTATCTCTAGACCCTAAACCCTAAACCCCTAAACCTTAAACCACTCAACCCTAAACCCCAAACCTTAAGCCACTAAACCCTACACCCTAAGACTGCGTCCCTAAACCCTAAACCCTAAACCCTAAACCCTAAACCCTAAACCCTAAACCCTAAACCCTAAACCCTAAACCCTAAACCCTAAACCCTAAACCCTAAACCCTAAACCCTAAACCCTTCCTCCACCCTAAACCCTCAACCCTCAAGCCTAAACCCTTCGCCCAGGTGAGCCGGTTTCTGCAGGGCCAGCTACGGCGCTCGGGACTCGCACCGGCGAGAGCTGCAGTTGGCTAGGCTCCGATGTTCTAAAGCCCAGCAGGTTAGGGGTTGTGGGGTGGTTTAGGGTTAGGGTTTAAGGCTTAGGGTTTGGGGCTTCGGGTTTAGGACTTAGGGTTTCGGGTTCAGGGTTGAGGATTTAGGGTTCAGGGTTTAGGGTTGAGTTGTTGTTTAGGGTGTACAGGGTTAACTGTTCAGTGATTTTCTGTAGCGATTTTAGGAGTCGGGCCAGCTTCGACCCACCCCACCAGCATGAAGCTTGGTCTACAGCCACACCTGCTCCGGGAGGCCGCAAAGGCAAAACCACACAAAATGTTGGTCAAAACCCCTCAAAACACGGACAGAAACCTTACAGTTAAACCCAGAATCCCAGACCTGACTGAACTCCAAATCTACGTGCCCAAAGCCTTCTTAGAAGCCTTACTGCACCCCAAACTCCGAACCTTTAGAAGCCCAAAACTCCATAGACTCCACACCATAAACACTAAACCCTAACCCCCAAACCCCAAACCCCAAACCCTAAACCCTAAACCCTAAACCCGCAAGGCTACTGCACGGTCGAGCACAGCGCCTGCAAGTCCGGCTCGTGCTTCTGCGGGCGCGGTTTTGTGGCCAAAGATGGACAATGTCAGGCTGCAGATGGGGTTTCGGGCCGCATTTAGGGTTTAGGGTGTAGGGTTTCGGGTTTCGGGTTTAGGGTGTGGGGTTTAGGGTTTAGGGTTAAGGTGTAGGGTTTAGGGTTTAGGGTGTAGGGTTTAGGTAGGGTTTAGGGTTTAGGGTTTAGGATTTAGGGTTTAGGGTTCAGGGTTTTGAAGGCTTCTGCAGGAGCTTCTGAAGGGCCTCCACTCTCAGACCATCTTATGCATGTTCGAAATGGCACAGCTATTCCTAAATACGCATTTCGTGCTTGAAGTGGCCGTTGCATGTAAATGGTGGTTCATTAGCTCTATCATCAAGTAAACCAAGTAAGTTTATATTAAATAGAGACGGTGAAGGAAGAAACTCTTATTGGCGAATCTTCCGAGAACGGCTAAGGCTCAGGCGGCTTAGGGCTTATAGGGTCTTGCACACGAGCCACTTAAATGCGTGACCCTGCACAAAGTATGGGCCCTAAGCCTAAAACCCTCGACCCGCCCTTGTAAGATGGAATGTTTCCTTTCCTTATGGATTGTTTGCACTCGTAACTAAGTAAAGAAGCTTGTAAATAACCAAATTGGGACTTGCATAACCTTACTTATTAACCAAACTAAACATGTAGTGTAGTACAATGTAGTCAAATGTACACGCTGTCAAAAGAGACTTGACCTGAAACTCGCCATGAAGGCCCCCTGAGATTTGCTGATGGTTTAGGGACAATGAGCAAGCTTTGAAAGGCTGGATGAGTGATTTCCGTAACTCGATTCGTGATGAAGCAGGAGTGAAATAATCAGTAAGTTTAGGGTTCCACAGAAAGAACTCTAGTTGACTTGACCTTTTGCTAGTTTCGGTGACCTTCACTTTGAGACATTGAGAAATTTCGAAGTGTAGAAACAATCAAAATCTTTCTTTACAACAATTTATTGATTTGCTACACGAATGCGAAGTAAAACAGGAAGATGTGAGTTTTGATAAAGAATCAGCAAACATGATTACAATGATCAATGAATTTATTTCAAATTTATTACATCAATCTCAACAAGAAAATGTTGATGATATTTTGCAACTGTTAGCTGTGGAAGATGCAAATGATTATAAATCAGATGAAACATATATAATAGACAATACATGGTTTTCTTTTAGAAATGCGGTTGTGGATGATAGATTGGATATCGATGGTTGTACCGATGGCTCTATCGATGGCTGTGTGGATGGTTGCATGGATGGCAACGCGGTGGGTGCTAAAGTAGGCAGTAATGATGGTTCCACTGTGGGAAGTATTGTAGTATGTGAATCATTTTGTATGTTTGTCTGATACGTATAACTATACATTGCATAATTACACGTTGCATTTTGATGACAATTGAATGTAAATTACTCTTTCAAATGAAGCATATGCCCTAAACCCTCGTCCCTGAACCCCCTGCAGGAGGAGAATCCATGGAAGCAAGCGTTCGGCTAGCAGGCGTGCGTGAAAGGACAGCGCAAAGGCCGGTCTCCAGTCCCGTGGCCTAGCTACAGTTTAGGGCCTGGAATTTAGGCCTCACGGTAATGAGTATACGGTTCGCTTGAAATAAGGGCATGACAACCCAGGACAACCTCCCCCAACAAGTAAAGGACTAGGGACCCACAACCCTGAACCCTGAACCCAAAACCCTAAACCCTAAACCCTAGACCCTGAACCCTGAACCCGAAACCCTAAACCCTAAACCCTGAACCCTAAACCCTCAACATGCCCCAGCCGTCAGCCATGGCACATGGCTTGCTCTGCCAGGTGGAGTCCCTCGGTCTCACGCAGCCTGAGCTGCAGAACGTAGGGCTTGAAGGCATAGCTTGGGGTGTAGGGCTTAGGGTTTAGGGTTTAGGGTTTGGGGTTTAGGGTTTAGGGTTTAGGGTTTAGAGCCCTAAACCCTAAACTTACAGCCTAGTTTCCGGTTCAGGGGTTTCGGAAGGATTGGTTCGGAATTTAGGGCTGCCCCCGCCCGATGTCCTTTCAGCCCCAAGAACGGCTTAGAGTTTGGGTCCCAAGATCCAGGCTTTAAACCCTAAACCCTAAACCCTAAACCCTAAACCCTAAACCCTAAACCCTAAACCCTAAACCCTAAACCCTAAACCCTCGACCCTCGAAACCCTAAACCCTAAACCCTGTAAACCCCAAAGCCTAAACACTAAACCCTCTTCAGCCCCAACAAGGGCCTTTGGTGCTTTCGAGCAAAGGCAGCCAAGGAGCTGCGCAGTACTGTCCTGCGGCCGCAGAAAATTGGCATCTGAAACGCTCTATGCTCAAATCGACCCATCCTCAATCCCCAACTGGGCATGTCCCCCCAATCCGAATACCCTTGATATACCCCCAAAAAGGTAGAAGCCTTGTTTTCGGAACCCCCCAAAAAAGAGTGCCGCTATTTCGCAAAAAAGCCCCAAGGGTTACGCAGTGTAGGGTTTAGGGTTTAGGGTTTAGGGTTTAGGGTTTTAGGGTTTAGGGTTTAGGGTTTAGGTGCCCAGCCCTGAACCGTGAACGATACAACTTTAACCCAGAGCCCCGAAGCCCTTCCCCACTAGGTACGCCTTCATTCGGCTGAAGTCTTTTCTGTACATGAACGTGCACGGCATAAGTGCCATGCTTTGGCTTGATGTTCGTGCATGGCATGGATATTGTGGCACATGGCAGGCATGTTCCACATGGCGACTGATGCATTTCAAGCACATGCATGGCATGATTGCTGTGAAGCATGGGCCTGACAGGGCTTGGAACGATACCTGGCATGAACCTGCATGGCATGAAACTGCGTGGCATGAAGGGCATGGGAAGCATTTTCAACATATCCTGAACAGGCTCATGGCGAGACACTGTTCATGCTCAGTGCACCGTGTTCCACCTCACGCCCGTCATCCGTCGAGTGCTCTACGCTGCGACGGAGCGACGCATGGCGAGAGGTTTAGGCTCTACTTTTCTTCTTCTGAGACCAAAGAAGTGCTAGCATATACGTAGGTTCCTAAACACGGTTTCCTCTGGGCACTTTTTTCTACTATGGGCTTTCAAGTGTTTGGTGCCCCAAACGGGCACCACACTTTGAAGAGCTTCCTTTGCGCCTTTCCCTTTGAATGGTATGCCCCAGGGTGGCAACAGCTGGCTCCACGACCGCTGAAACTTTGGAACGTGTCCACTGCACCAGGGGAGCTTGCCTACGAAGCGCAGAAAAGCACATCCCAGGGGTGTCAGAACATTCTTTTGTGGGGTTTCGTGCGTCAGGGGGGAGGATTCCTTCAGGCTCTTGCGGGGTGAAAGTTTAACGGGTATTCTAATGTGGCGGTTCAAGCGCACTAGAGCCCTGTCACGATCCTGGGAATTGAAGCCTTCGCAAACCCTAAACCCTAACCCCTAACCCTAATGCCTAAACCCTAAACCCTAATCCCTGAACCCGAAGCCCTAAACCATAAACCCAAACTGCACTTGATGCTTGGCAGGCACTGCTGCCCGAGACTGGAGCCTGTTCCCAGGCAGGTTTTTTCACCTGCTGGTGATGTCCAACCAAAAGTTTATAGTGCAATATGGGGTTCACGGTTTTGGGGGGCTCGGGTCGCTGGTGAGAACTTGGACGGTCGTGTTTCTTGCGCCGCCGTGTGATTGCATCGTGGTTCATGTGCACAGTACATACAGTTAGTATGTGTGATTCCCTGAATATACGTCATCACCTGAGGACTGATTAGGCTCCATTGGGTGTTGGAGGGTTTTGATGGGGCTGAGACGTACGGTAAGGCCTAAACCCTAAACCCGAGACTTAGGCGACAGTTGCCTGTAGAAGACGTGCCTTATCGGCTCATATGGTCAGATCTCTAAGCAATGGTCGGCTTATGGGTCCCGGATATAATGCGGCCGCCTGGGACAGTATCCTCGGTAATTGACCCCGGGCAGCATGGATCGAACTATTAGCATCTCATCATCTAGCATTGGGCTGTTTCGTCGCAGGTTCGGTTGTTCGGACTGTTTAGACAAACTTATTTGCAGGATTCTGCAGAAATTCCGGTGGATGCGAGGGCACAAGACCTAAAACGACCCCAGACCCCAGACTTTGGACCTCAGATCCTCAACCCCGGAATTTAAAGTAGGAGTAGGAGTAGGAGTCGGAGTCGGAGTAGGAGTAGGAGCCTCAACGCGACTGCCAGGTCCTCCAGAGACTGGACAGAAGAGGTGACGCGCCTCGGGATGGGCTCGAGTTCGCACCTCTAACCCTGACACCTTAAACCCTAAGCCACGCACCCTGAACCCTAAACCCTAAACCCTGAACCCTAAACCCTGAACCCTAAGCCCTAAGCCCTAAGCCCTAAACCCTACACCCTTTATCCCCTTTACCCTAAACACTAAACCCCTCTGAGGGTCTGGCAGAAGCTCCACAGGTCATCCTTGGGAGCAGTCGGAGCGCGAGCGAGCATGCCAGGAGCTTGGGTGCGAATCTGTCCGCTTTGGGTTGAAGGTAAACCCTAAACCCTAAACCCTAAACCCTAAACCCTAAACCCTAAACCCTAAACCCTAAACCCTAAACCCTAAACCCTAAACCCTAAACCCTAAACCCTAAACCCCCAACCCCCTAAACCCTAAACCCTAGTTCAGGGTTCAGGGTCCAACCGCAATGCTGATGCCGCGCAGCTTTGGTTTGAGGGTCTAGGTGTTTGGGTTTGAGGGTCTAGGTGTTGGGGTTTAAGCTTCCTGTTTAAAGCCCTGAAGTGCTTAAGACCAGGAGCCCTGGGTCTCCCAAGGGTTTAGGGTTTAGGGTTTGGGGTTTGGGGTTTGGGGTTTGGGGCTTAGGGTTTAGGGCTTAGGGTTTAGGGCTTAGGGTTTAGGGCTCAGGGGTTGAGGGAAGATCAAACCCCCAAACTCTGAGGCATCCTTACACACTCAAGTACAAACCTCCCACATACCCCCAACCCTCAATGCCCTAACACCAAACCGATTGAACCTGGAACCAAAGACCTCAACCTCCAAAAACCCAAGCCAGGGATCCCTGACCTTAAAGGCCTGAAAGCCGTTACCCTGAAGCCTAAACCCCTGAAAGCCCTAACCCCAAACAACCAAAACCTAAGCCCTAAACCCAGATGGACCCAGGTCGGGTTCTGACCAGCAGCTGGGTCAAGAGGCAGCCGGGCGGGGTTTAGGGTTTAGGGTTTAGGGTTTAGGGTTTACGGAGGGTTTAGGGTTTAGGGTTTAGGGTTCAGGGTTTAGGGTTTCGGGATAGTGTTGATGGGTTTTGATTGGGAGTTTCGGATTTTGGGTTTATGGGTTTGGGCTTTGGGTTGAGGGGTCTGAGCCCCCAACCCCAAACATAAACTCCTAAGCCTGAAAACCCCAAAGGAAACGACGCCCTACTGAACCCTGCGAAACCACAAGCCTGAGACCCCCTCAACCCAAAAGCCTCAACCTTCAGCCTAGACCCAGAGTAATTAGTCCCGTAATTCCCGTTTCTTAGGGCCTAGTTCCCCTTACAAAGCAAAGAGGGCACCCTTTGTATTCCTAAGTTAATCTTGGGTCTAGTCTAGGATCACAAAGTCTGACCAATCCTGGACCCTAGACCCTTAGACCCTAGACCCTAGACCCTAGACCCTAAACCCTAAACCCTAAACCCTGAACCCTGAACCCTAAACCCCAAACCCAAACCGCATACGGCGACATCTGAGAAGTTCCCTCCTAGCTTGGGCGGCACATCATTCGTTACGTCTCCTAGGGATCTGTACGGGTTCCCTGAGAGCCCTGAATCCCGAAATCGCTTCATCCTAGACCCTGAACTCGGGCCTTCGAAAGATCGAGGCCGCAGGCGACTCTGCAGAGTCTGCTGATGACAAGGCCCCAGGGGCTTGGCGGTCTATTATAGGGGTCGGAATAATTATAGGGGTCGGAATAATAACTAATGGTTTTCCCTTATGGTCGTTCGCCCGCCTCGCACAGGTCGGGGCCCCTAGGACGGGCCGGGAACCCTAAACCCTTTAGGACAAAGGGACTCCCATGTGCCACTGGCCGCAACAATGAGTTTAGGCCTAAACCCTAAAAAGGAACAGGCTAGGGTGGTTTTGCCGCCTGAGACAGTGTGTGGGGTGGGATATAAGTGTTCGATAGCCCTAGCTTTCGAAGCTAGTCTGATCCCCCAATGTGTGCTGCGCCAGGGCTGCCAGAAGATCCTCCAAGCTGGTCAGGCCAGGGCTGATTGAGAAACCCGGGTTGGTGGTGTAGGGCTTCAGGGTTTACAGTTTCACGTTCTTAGGGTTCACAGTTTCAGGTTTTTTGGAGTTTAGGGCTTTTCTGGCTTTGCTTTTTTGGCATTTCGGGGGGATTTTTGGGACTTTTGGGTCCACGGCTTGCGGATGGTTCGGGCGTATATACTTTGATCTGCCAGGTTGAAGGTATGGCAGAAGCTCTACGGAACGGAGGGGCTGCGTGCTCGGGGAGTGTAGCACAAATACAGAGGCTGACAT